AAAACCTGACGAGGTTTTCTTTGTTTCATGAGGTATTGTTTTGCTGTACGCTATTGTTTATAATGTTTTGTTGCCTTTGTTTTACGTCACTCGTTAGCTTCACAGGTTTTTACACCGAGGATGAGCCCGGAATCTGATTAGGTTGGTTTAGAGGATGGGGCGAGATTTGTATAACTATCAACTAGCAAACTTTAGTAAAAGCAACGAACGTTGAGACTGATGTCCTCTTTTTTCACATTCAACGAGACATTTTGCCATTCATTTTTTAACCATGTTTCTTTTTTCAGGGAAATGATGAGAAAGATGGTGAAACAGATGAGGCCTGCACAAGATTAAAATGGTGTCTGTGTACATTACATGGATACTAAGACATTTATTTGGCAATTGCCATTAGTTGTACTTTTATGCGACAATTTTTAGAGCCATTAAGAATACTCCAGAGACTACTGTAACACACACGAAATAAATGAAAATTCCCTCGAGTTTTAGTCTTAACACACATCGCGTACATATACCAAGCAGGAGGCCGTTAGATATCTTCATATTTTTATCTTTGCTGAAGAAGGCAACAGTAGTAGCCAAAAAAAAACAATGTATTGTAAGCCAGTGTCAACTTTTAATTCTTTTCACCAAAACATTATGTAGCATCTGTTCACTAAGAGTATTTACCTTAGTAAGAGCTTCATTTGAACGATAAATGTATTTCTCAGGACCTTTAAAATTGGTAAGAATTTCAATCAAAATGAAAATAAGGACGAATAAAAACAAAAACAAAAAAAAAGGATGAAAAAAGTCTTAACGTAATGGAGAAGAGAGTAAAAGTTATGGATATAAAGTTCAAGGGGGACGTTTATTTTTGTACATCCGGTATTGGAATGGTCATGGCGGAGTTAATGTCCCTCTACCAAAGAAACCTCTTATTATGCCTGGCTGTGTCGATTGTTGTTGAGGTTGGATCTCATGAGTTCGGGGATACTTTTCATAATGTATGTTCACCAGGAACAATCAACAGAAATGAGTTTTTTGTACGTGGCAAGGCTCCAAACTTCAAATGGTCTCTACTTTTGCAGACAAGTAGCCCTTAGTAAGACATGAACGCTGTGTATTTTCCTTCAAATGTGTTTTTATTTTGGATGAAATTAAAAACAAACTTTTTGTTTTCACCCTCCGGAATCGATTGATCGTGTCATAACACGTCGAAAATTGAGCACTTTCGCATATTGCATCTTGGGAACTCTCCGTCTCTTGCAAAATGTAAGTTTTG